CCCCAAAACCCCAAAACCCCAAAACCCCTAGTTTTTTAATTTTGCTTGAAATTAAGTATGGAAGTGGAAGAAGGCATAATTACTTTGACATACCGAGTGAGAAGGCTTCGTTTTTGTCTGACCATGATTTATTTAGGCATATTTTGAAGAGGCTTAAGTGCCAAGATTGGTTCTGATAAAATAATCGAGGCAACTTGAGTTGAAAAATGCTAGAGGATTGTATGAGAAAAATTTTTGAGAGTTAGTTTGATTTACCTTCTCATGAGCGATTATAGGATCTTCTGGCTCGATTAACTCTGGGTTTGCTTTAAATAAATCTTTTGCTTATGTTATAATTAGAATGGATTAGATGTAACCGGTTTGCTACTGCCATTCAAAAAATCCGATAAATAAAAAGCGAGTTAGAGAAAAATAATAGCGATCAGTTGGGTTTAATTATTTTTAGAGTTACCAACCGATATATTTTGGTCATCAAGATGCTCTTATGTTTTGTGAGAATACCTTAACCCATTGCTAGTTGTGAAAAAGATTTCAAACTTAGTATTTTATCAAACAACAAAGTTATTTTAAGGCTTCTTAAGAGGTTCTAATTAAGTCTCTGCAAACATTTTGATTTAATCTCTAAACCTAAAAAATATGGAACAGATTAGGTCTCAAGCTTCTAATACTAAAGGCCAAACACATATAATCTTGAATACTATTGCTTTCACACATTCTCACTAGGATAATGGAGATAGAGGTGCTTTGTAATGGACTCTACTTCTCAGCTACTTTTCCTCAACTATTGACTGATAAATCAAATGAATTGTCATTTTTACTACTACCCTGGAAATACAGTTGTATTTCAATAAAAATATCTTGCTCTTATACTCTTTTAGAGGGGCTATGAAGAGCTTTTGATAAAAGTAGAGACTCATTGGCTTAAATACAGTCTCTACTTCACTGCAATCTATCAGTGTTGAGAGCTACAATATCTTGTGAATATTTTTCTAACAGTTCAGACCTTCAAAATCGTGTTTCTATTAGCAATAAGTGATACTGATTTCTCGTGGCTACTATTTTTAATGCATTTTACCGTTACTAAATCTAGTTGTACTTAGGGCTGAGGAACTCCAAAGCAAGGTTATTAAATATATTTCCTGAGCATCATAATAAGCACTGCAAGATATCAGCCATCATAATGCAGGTTAAGTAATTTAATAGGTATATAAATCATTACCTTGGCTAACTTATAGGAAATCTGACTTATAACTCTCAGAGTTAGCTTAAAAAGAGCAATGTCTGTGCCCTTAATTTTTAGTCGAAGTTTCCTTGCAGTAGAGGAATCATCTATGACTTCCAGTATATTTTAAAGAGATGAGAAAGAATGCAATTTATAGCAGATTTTGATAATTATTGTTACTACTAACCTCATTTAGGAACTCAACGAAGTCTAAAATACTTTTTATTCCTAGCTAGCCTTCACCAATGACTTCAGCAGATGATGCTCAAAATATTGGCACATAGCTATACCATTAAGAGCGATTATTAGGGGATAAATAAGTAAGTTAGGAGTTGAAGCCTGTATTAGTTCCTAATTAAATATACCTAAAGCTAATTTTTAGCAGACTGGCTCCTAAATTTCCCACAATGAGTCCATATTCTGCGGCTAATTGTTCCAGTTGCCTTCAAGCCAGCCAGCCAGGATTTTCTGGCATTAAAGAAAGCAATAAATTTTTCGTCCTTCTACATAATGGCCGGAAAGAAATTCTATTAATATTTTGTCCAGATTGAAGCTTGAATGATCCATATGGATGTTAAAAATAAGTTATTATAAAATTTAGCTGGTTATCTCAAGCTAGCTTTACTCATTCATCAGTGAATAGCACTTCCTCACTTTTAAGCTCTATATAGTTATGGAATGCACTTAGAGAGCTTTAGAAAAGACTCAATTTTGCTCCTCTCCAGTTCTCCAAAAATATGGAAACCTTACTATTCACCTCAGTAAATTTATGAATGAATTGTCAACAGAGTTGGCAGGGGATTTTTGGAAGGGGAAGAAATACACCGTTCCATGTAACTGTCACAGTTTATAACTCTAAGAATTTCTTAGCAGTGCTATAACACAGGAATAGTAAAAGGAATAGTACAATAGATGATCTGTGAGCAAGCATCTATTTCAGAATAGCTTATTTATTAGGAATTAAGTTGGGGTCAATGCCCAAACGGTTATCCAAACGCAATAGATAATGAACCCTGCTAAAGGTTTATGGATGCAAACTTATTATCAGCAGCTGAAGAAGGCTGAGTCGATACCTCTCCATCCAAAATTGATAAGAAATTTAAGAGGTTTCCGGAATTTGAGAACAATAAATTTTAATAGCTATTATAAGTTCTTTATGAAAAAGCAATGAATTCCTAAATTACTCTTAATCATTCCTGAACTCAAACCCGAATTAATTTTTAGGTAATAATAACCTGGGTGAATAAGAGGCTTCTCTAGAGTGTCTAGTGAGGAGATATATAGTGAAGACACTCATTGCAAGAAGGTAATTTAATCATTTTTGAATATTATAAGTACTCTCTTTCAAAGTCTCAGAGCTTCACATCATAATTAAGGCCTGATTAGGTACTTGTCTGGTTCTCCAAAACTGTTGATGTAGTTCTTCAAGAGTTAAAATTATTAATATTTTGGCTTAAATTTTTAATAAAATTGTCGAAAGTACACCGTTTTCATGATTATAATCTCTTGCAATTTTCTAAAATTACTAAAATACTTGATCAAATTCATATCTAAAGCATTAATATACCAGAAATATTTTATGAATAAACAAATCTCTTTGATAGTCCTCCTTAGCAATATTTGCTGAATTTTCTGGAAGTATTTCTCCAAAACGTGAAGGTCTATACTGTAGTGTTTCTCCAAAATGCCTTATAGTTAGCCTTCCCGAATTAGTAAATTTATGCATATCAAAACCATGCAGAGGATTTCATTATAAGGCTTAATGAAGCTGTAGGAAGAGATATAGCTCTGATTCAAAATTTTAGATGAGATTTCAGTGAAGCTGAACACAAATCATGGCATATTATCTACTTGAATAACATGCCCAATTATGGATATCTCATTGCTAGGAGACACTGAAGGAGTATTTTTCATGTAAAATAACTAGTTTCCTTAGTATGCTCTAGGTAAGTCTGCTTAGTATGACTCCCAACTTTTGGGAATTCGAAGATTTCCATAGCCTTATACTTTCTGCACTATTTTGTCATAGGTATTTTAGTGTTATTAATGAAGCTATAACACAGGCTATTAAGCTCGGATATTTGAGCCTACTTGGCTATTGGAGAGAACCTAGCCGACTCTTAGTCTTAGAAGGGCTATCACTAATTATAACTCTTGACCGAATGAGTTTTATCTGGCATATCTAATTGCACTCAGGAGATTAGCAATATTTTTACCCATATTTCCATAATTTAGAACTTTCAGTTGGTCCCGATATGCTGGAATCTTCTCTGTTGAGATATCTGGGCAGCTTTTAATGATTTGAAATGCAGTTTTCTGTTCTAATTCTAATCTGACAATGTAGTAAAAAGCTTTAGATGCTTCTTCTCTACTCTTATAATCACTTACTTCTTGTTCTTAATTGAAGATAATCTGAAGTAGCTGTCAGTTTAAAATAATTTTGAGGAAATCTGTATTCCTAAAATTTTAGAGAAGGCCTAATCTGATCATAAATCAAAATTAATTTTGATATGTGAGTGCGTTTGGTTACAAATATCCTTTGCAATCCTCCCTTGTGACTTCCTCAATAAGTTTGATATTCTGTGCTTAATAAGAAGTTATGTTTTCTTGAGTCACCATCTCTTGCTCGAAGTCTTGGTCAAATATTTAAGAAATTAAGTTTTAGATAATAATTAATACTTTTCCAAAAGTAAGTACAAGTCTTCCTGACTTCAAACTCTGCCTTCTAATGAATCCAGTCTTGTGAACTATATAAAGGATCCTTAATGGGCTATAAATGTTCACAGAATGTATGAGAGAGCCTGAATTAAGAAGAGTGTTCACTAACTCATGATTTATATGAATATGGCGAGAGACCCTACGGAAGAGTTACGATTACAGTTAGCTTTAGCAAGATTAGTTCCTTCATATTTAATTTTAACGTTCTGTTGTGGAACTAGCTCAAAAATTATGGTGATGGCCTTAATACTTCTGACTAGCAATGGTTAACTATATTGTAGCTCTAAGATAAGTTCAGGAGGCTCTCCTTAGGTCAATAATTCCTACTATTGTTATCTTATAGAGATATACTATTTTTACTCTTCTCTCGAAGATTTTACCATCAGGTCTTCAACTGGAGATGATTATAATTTCGATGTTACATGGAGGGTACTTTACGTTATTTAATTTACTGCTTTTGTTCTGGAAAAATCTAGTTAGCTCTCTCATATTCCTGATAAATTCATATGGCATTAGCTCACGCTATCAAGTTAATACTCTATCACAAGTGCATGCTTTAGCAACAATTTATCTAAGTGATGCCATCCAGAGAATAAAATTTGCTTCTTGTATCTTAATTTCCATAACTTGTTTGATTATGATTCTTAACCTGCATTTAGGAATGTTTTTCAAAAAGCCAGTGAAGTAAGTAAATAAAGGACTAGGAGATCCAGCACTCCTAGATACTTCAGATTTTATTGTTCTCCATAATAGCCAGGCATACACTTCCCTCAGGAGCTTCACTAAAAGAGAGGTTACATTATAGTGACCCTCCATAACCTGTTTTACATCGGTTATGATATATCAAAAATTTAGGATTTCACCTGACTGAATGGCAAACCTACTTTATTAATTGAGTAAAGTAAAAACATTGATATTTTCAACATGACATTCACCAAAGAGCCTAATGAAGTGGTCTCTTCAGGATTCTTGTGTACATGAACAGTCAGTTAGACATCATCAGCCAAGGTGGATTTTACCATAGCTTTTCTTAACTATAAAATATCTGCTAGTTATTACAATGATACTTACCCTCTTCAAATAAAAAGTCGGTATTCAATAAATTTGATAACTTGTTAAAAATTTTATTAAAAAGAAGGTATTTTATGCAGAATTCGGTGAAATCTAATTTAAAAAACCCGCTTAGTCCTCTCACTTGAGGTTGAAGAAGTTGATGATTTTATAGAACCAACAGACCGCAACTAGCATCTTTACCCGCTATATCCGACAGCACAGTGCTTATTCATGGTAAGTCTTTTGGAGTCTAGGAAAATTGCTAAGAAGGGATTTGTGACTATCGAATGAATTTTTATACCTTATTATCCATCCAAGCTTTAACAAAGTAATAAAAACTTGATATTTAACATAAAGGACTATCTCAAAGCTTTATTAGGTAACAAGCTTCATGCTGCCTAAAATGGCTGTTATACCTATCCTCATTATACCATAATTATGAGGAGATTTTGAGGCTGGGTCTGCTTCTAATGCTGCCCATCTTCACCAATTGAACATAAAAATACATCTGTGTTTATGATAGTTCGATCAGGTTCATCGATGATCATGAGTCTCACCGTTTTCTGTGAAATATATATGAAATTATTGTCAGGATTCCAACCTCTAGGTCAGGATAGGAATTTCAGATTGGAAAATAGTATTAAGACTTAGTTTATAAAGTCAAAAATTCACAACAATGATATAGATACTCCAAAAATTTCAGACAATGCTAAATCAAATCATCAAGAGATGATTTCCAAAATTCAGGCTCCAAGCTCCAGAGAGCATTTCCAATTATTTATGGTAACCAATTTGCTTATTGTCTACTTTTGATGAGTAACCTCCCACTTGTGGGTCTCGAAAGGGATCACAAAAGACTTTCAGGCATCCAACTCTTAAAAATATTAGTTTGACATTTCTCGGTTTATTTTTCTTACTGAATCCAAACTTTGGTTTAGGAGTTGGAGATGGAGTACAATAAAGAACACTTGATGAAGCCAATCAAGCAAACCAGTTTGGACAAAGACTTATTAGATCAAGAATATGACCAAGCAGGTAAGTTTGAGAGAAAATTTTTAATACTAGTGCCTGGGATGGTACTAAAAATTCGAGTGTTTACAGCAGTTCGCTTCTGGATAATCCCATTTATTAATAATTATTAATTCGTTAATAGATATGAATAGCCCAATGCTGTGCTGGGGGTCTCACGTTATGAAGAAAAAATCTACCAAAGGAAGAAAGCGGAACCCTGCACACAGCGCTTCTAGTATTTATGAACTGATATATGACTCAGTACTGCCAAAGTGGGAGAAGTGCCTCACATCTAAAGCTAATCGAAGAGCTCCCAACACTCCTAAAGCACGCTCTGACACTGTCTGGAAGAAGATTTTGAGAGACGTCAGAGAGTTCTACAGATTATTGTTCAGAGCCAGATTCCACTACCTCGAGTACCAGAACCAGCAAGGAGCAATTGTTTGCATCCAAACACTGTTCTCAGAGCTCAATATTCCACTGAAGAATGACGAAGAATATCTTCATAGAGTGTTCAGGTACTTGCATCAGTCTCACAAAAGCAGGTTTCCTGGTCTTAGCAAAGAGCCAACACCTCTGGATGCAATTGAGAAATACAATGAAAACTACAGAAGCTTGTACATGAAAGACGACTTTGGAGCGAGGCTGCTGTATTTCGTGTTCAAGAACTTCACTCCGGAGTACTGCCTTCTAATAAAGTCGAGATATCAAAGAGAGATCGCTGAGAAAGTGTGCATGCTGCTAAACTGCTACAGAAGGATGAGGAAGACCGAGCATTTGGAAAGAATTGAACATCATTGATACTAATTCATTTTCTTAAAATTTACGTAACTGTATTGAAGGGCAAGATTATCGTATTATTTCTTATTGTCAACCTACTTTTTACCCCTCGGGGTTTTGGGGTTTTGGGGTTTTGGGGTTTTGGGGTTTTGGGG